GCTGCCTCCTGCACACCCCCCACTGGAGATGTGCCCGCAACCAAGGTACATGCCCTTGACCGGAATCGAACCTGGGACCCTTCAGTCCGCAGGCCGATGCTCTATCCACTGAGCCAAACTGGTTAGGGCAATGATTCGTTTTTTGTTACGTGAATTTTACCCAATTAAAGAAGAGTGGTGAACAAGGAGGAATCTGATAACTGTGAGTTTGTGCCGGGTGGCACCAAGCGAAGCAGTGGCATGTGTGTCCCCATGCTCTTTGTTCCTTTCCAGTGCTTGGAGTTAAAGATTCCTTTAAAAAACAAACAAACATATTTTACTGATTTTTCACAGACAGGAAGGGAGAGGGATAGAGAGTTAGAAACATCGATCAGCTGCCTCCTGCACACCCCCTACTGGGGATGTGCCCGCAACCAAGGTACATGCCCTTGACTGGAATCAAACCTGGAACCCTTCAGTCTGACACTCTATCCACTGAGCCAAAGCAGTTAGGGCAAGATTCCTTGAAGTAGGGTACAAGTGGTTTAGGTGTTTTCTGCTCTAATAAAGGACTATACCTAAAAAGAAGAGGTAAAAGAGGGCAGGAGGGAGGTTGGAAAGAAGGAAGGAGGGAGGAGGGACTGAGAAGAGGGACAGAATGATTATGCTTTCAAGTAGCCAACCCGGCCCTTGGAAGATTGGTGGGATCTCAACCACACGGCCTCCTGTTTCCCCATCATTCCCCTCCATGTTCCAGCTGGACAGGCTGAACTGTTAATTCCCCAAAATCCATGCTTCTTCAAATGCTGTCACTCAGCCTTGAATGCCACCCCTCCCTGTTACCTGGCTGCTGTTACACCTTTTCCACTGTGAGGGCCCTTCAAGCCCCAGGTCTGGGTAGTGCCTGTCCAGTATCCTCCCCAAGCATTCTGTACTCCTCACCATCAGAATATTTCCCACATTGTTGTTTAGTCACTTGTCTTTCCCAGTCAGCTGTGGGTCCCGTAAGGACAGGAGCTTTGTTTTGTAGTTGTATTCCCAGTGTATATCAAGTGCCCAGCATACAGTAGATGTTAAATATAAACTCTATTTATGTGTATTTTATTGATTTTTAGAGACAGATGGGTAGAGAGAGAGAGAAACAACAATTTGTTGTTAAATGCATTGGTTGATTCTTTTTTTTTTTAAATACATTTTATTGATTTTTTTACAGAGAGGAAGGGAGAGGGATAGACAGTTAGAAACATCCATGAGAGAGAAACATC